TTATAGTTCATGATACTGGATATAAAAAGTTATTCCGAAAAACGACCCCCCATGTTTGAACTTTGACCTCTTATGCAGTTATTGCCCCTTTCACCGTAAAGCTTGTTATCGCTACTCCTTTGAAACCTTAAACCGTAGAAGTACGGAACCTTCACCAATGTATTCGACTAATTGAGGGGACTCTTCAATCTTTTCATTGCGAAACTATTCGTTGAACCCTTCAATGAGTTATTGCCCCTGAAAGTTTTTGAAGTTTACAAATAATCAAAAAATTTCAAAACAATAAGTCGTAGAGACATGGAACCAACTGCATTAGATTCTTTGACCTTTGACCTTGAAATTTATATGAAGGTCAAAGGTCAAGGTCATTCCATATATGAAAAATATATTTCCTTCTATAGCTCTTTTGTTCTTAAAGATTTATTATCTATTGTTACATAATTAATATGTACTCTTTAAGCTATTTACAATATTTCATTCTTGTCCCCTAAGTTTAACCCTTTTGAAAGTTATTGCCCCTTGTGCAAAAAACCTTGTTATCGCTACTCCTCTGAAACCGTAGACCGTAGAGACATCAAACCTTCAATAATGTCTTCAGGGTCTTTAGACACAACTTCAATCTATTCAGTGCGAAAGTATCCGATGACCCCTTGTATGAGTTATAGCCCTTTAACGTCTTTGCGCTTACTATTAAACCTTATAACTTTAAAACTAAAAGTCGTAGAAGCATGGGGTCAAGTGCAATGTGACCCTTGACCTTTGACCTTGAATATTTATTCAAGGTCAAAAGTCAAGGTCATTTCAATTTTTTCAAATTTTCATTTTTCTATCTTTCAAGCCATTTATGGATTCTTTTTGTATAAAAATTAAGTTTAGAAAGTGAAATATGAAAAATATATGAAATTTAAGGTGGAAAGACCTCTAATTGTTCGAGAACAATTAGTCTACTAGTTATTATTATTATTCTTTTTCTTCCCGGACTTTTGAAACCGCAAGACTTATCAAAAAACTTTATAGTTCATGATATTGGATATTAAAAGTTATTCCGAAAAACGACCCAACGTGTTTGACCTATGACCTCTTACGAAGTTATTGCCCCTTTCACAAGAATAGCTTGTTATCGCTACTCCTTCGAAACCGTAAATCGTAGAGATACAGAACCTTCACCAATGTCTTTGACTACTTGAGAGGACTTTTCAATCTATTCATTGCGAAATGATTTATCGACCCCTTCAATGAGTTATTGCCCCTGAAAGTTTTTGAAGTTTACAAATAATGAAAAATTTTCAAAACGATAAGTCGTAGAGACATGGAACCAACTGCATTAGATTCTTTGACCTCAGACCTTGAAATTTTTGTAAAGGTCAAAGGTCAAGGTCATTCAAAATTTGAGAAATTAAGCTCTTTTTATATCTCTTTTGTCTTTCATTATATACTAAATCTCTTTGCATCTTTAATATGTCCCCTTAAAATCATTTCAAAGATTTCATACTTGTCCCCTAAGATTTACCCTTTCAAAAGTTATTGCCCCTTTCACTGAAAACCTTGTTATCGCTACTCCTCCGAAACCGTAGACTGTAAAGACATCAAACCTTCGCTAATGTCTTCAGGGTCTTTAGACACAACTTCAATCTATTCAGTGCGAAAGGATCCGATGACCCCTTATATGAGTTATTGCCCTTTCATGTCTTTGGGCTTACTATTAAATCTTCTATCTTTAAAACTAAGAGTCGTAGAATCATGAGGTCAAGTGCAATGTGACCCCTGACCTTTGACCTTCAATATTTGTTTAAGGTCAAAGGTCAAGGTCATTTCAAAATTTTTAAAATTTTCATTTTTTCCATTTTTCAAGCTATTTCTGGTTTCTCTTGTATAAAAATAAACAGTAGAGAGTTAAATATGAAGAATATATGAAATTTAAAGAAGGTGGAAAGACCTCTAATTGTTCGAGAACAATTAGTCTACTAGTTTTTATTATTTTTCCGCCGGACGCTTTTTTGTTTCATGATCTTTCGAAAAGATTTATTGTCCATGAGAATGTACTCCGTAAAAGATTTTTGCATTTGACCCTGCATAAATGAACTTTGACCCCTCAAAGAGTTATTACCCCTTTCGTAATAAAAGCTTGTTATCGCTACTCCTTTGAAACCGTTAACCGTAGAGATACGAAACCTTCACCAATCTCTTCGACTAATTTAGAAGACTCTTCAATCTATTCATTGCGAAAGTATTCATTGACCCCTTCAATGAGTTATTACCCCTGAAAGTTTATGAAGTTTATGTATAATGAAAAAATTTCAAAACGATAAGTCGTAGAAACATGGAACCAACTGCATCAGATTCTTTGACCTCAGACCTTGAAATTTTTTTCAAGGTCAAAGGTCAAGGTCATTCAAAATGTGAGAAATTAAGCTATTCTTATATCTCTTTTGTCTTTCAACCTATACTATATATCTTTGCATCTTTAATATGTCCTCTTAAAACTATTTCAAAGATTTTATACTTGTTCCCTAAGATTGACCCCATTAAAAGTTATTGCCCCTTTCACTAAAAACCTTGTTATCGCTACTCCTACAAAACCGTAAGCCGCAGAGAAACCAAACCTTCACTAATGTCTTAAGGGTCTTTAGACACAACTTCAATCTATTCAGTGCGAAAGGATCTGATGACCCCTTATATGAGTTATCACCCTTTAACGTCTTTGCGATAACTATTAAAGCTGATGACTTTAAAACTGAAAGTCATAGAAGCATGGGGTCAAGTGCAATGTGACCCTTGACCTTTTACCTTGATTATTTGTTCAAGGTCAAAGATCAAGGTCAATGAAATTTTTCGAAAATTGTCATTTTTCCAATATTTCAAGCCATTTCTTGGTTCTTTTTATTCGAAATTTAAATATAAAGGGGTAAATATAAAAACAAATAAAAATTAAAAAAAGGTGGAAAGACCTCTAATTGTTCCGTGAACAATTAGTCTACTAGTTTTGTTAACAATTGTTCAGGTAGGGTAAGCATAATTTTGTCTGTGAATGTTTTCTTTTTTTACCACTTTATTATGCTTTCACAAGATCAGCAACTGTGAAGTGCCTTTCTCTTTCCAAGTCCTTACTAACGAACATTTTTTGGTTGGATTTTTACAGATAATCCATTTCCTCACAGATCGTCCTCATCTGATACAAAGTCCATATCATTCAAATACTGCCTGGGCCATTTGCACACACACACACACATGCATGACTCGCTTTTGAGATATTTCATGCTTCCTACAACATTTTTAGATTTTATTCCGACGTTTTCCAGAGTACAACAGAAAATTGTATCGTAAACTGTTGCTCTGTGACGTTCTATGACTTCACCTATTTTGCCTTTTTCATTGAAGACTACCTTTCTTCAGAAATTGATTTCTTTTCCATGAAGCAAACTATTAATTCATAATTTGGAATATGAAACGATGTAACAATTCCTAATTTGATCGTCCAGATCTTTTTTGGTTTTGAGCCATTTTACACAGGCAATGACTACAGGCATTAATTAGTGTATTGTTTGTAAATTACTAAATTTTGATTTGCTTCGCGAACCAATTTTTCAAAGTTTTTAACTCCTAATAAGTTTGAATTAAATCAAGATATTTTAAAGATTTTTAATACAAATCATTTGAATTTATTGTTTAAATATTTCTAGCAAATTTGGATATAATATGACATTAAATAAAAAAGATATGACAGAAGTCAACTAACTTTCTGAACAACCCTCATATTTAAATCTATTTAGAACAAATATATGCAAAGGATAATAGTGTAACAACAGCAGGTTTCCTACATATATTAACAATACCCCTTCCCTAAGTTCCCTTATTCTACAGTCTGTGTGATAAAAAATTCAAATTAACATATGTTAATGTTTTTGAGCTATAAATTAAGGGGGGGGGGGGGGGGGGGTAATTGGGTAGTGTAAAGAACAAACTAATAATTTTGAACATGAGCACTTTTTTTCTTGTAGGTCAGACATTAAAATTTGAAATGCTTGCTATTCATTTGCTTTCTTGCACAATCTTATTCCATAATATATGAATACAAACAGTACATATATATGAGTGCTGGAATTTTTAAGCAGTGTAATTACAATCGATAAAATATAATTCAGAGGTGTGAAAGACAATCCTGAACACATCGAACCTCTTTTGCTATTTTTAACCACCTTCTAACACTCTTTAAAACCCAAAATATGCACTGGTTTTTGGTTATAAGTTCTCTTGAAGAACCTGTAATTACTTGAAGAATACCATGCATAGATTACAAGTCTTGGAGATCTTGCACTTGATCAATATGTTGTTGATATATAGCTAGGGATTCTCCAAGAAAACTCAAACATATCAAAACAAAATATTTAGTTACCATGGTAACATGAATTTTCAGAGTTCAACTTTTACCAATTATGAATTTGCCTGATACAGTTTTTATACATCAGGGATGCATTTTACAATCAAACTAAAGATTAACATCAAAATCTACTTTTGCAATTTATTAATTCTTTACATTGATTAAATTCCGAGTTAAATTTGAATAAGAAGAATTCAGTTATGTCAACATATACAAATATAACCTCACAAACTTGTTTAGTTAGTTAGATTTTAGAACTATATTTAAGATTTTTAAACTTAGCTGCAAGTTCTTTTGTACAACCAGTGATTGGGAAGGCTGTGAAGGTCAATGGGCTATGAACAACTGTCAAAATTTGTAATGGACCATTTTGAAAATAAATGGGCCATCTATGTAACAGCTGGCTATATTGGTCCCAACCTGTTGAATCAGACTCAGAAAACATAAATAATGTCTTTGACTGAATTAACTTAAAAAACAAAACTTAAAGGGTACATAGTGTCAACTGCATCAAAGTTGCCAGACTTTCATGTATTTGCATGACAGATTGCTCCAATTATTTATATTTATACAGCTGTATTTAGATTGCATGTCTCATTGTCTTTGTAGGAGTGACATTTACCTTCACTTTAAAGTCTTCAAACTTCGATCATTTCTTTTTTTTCCCGTACTTTATAACCCTAATAAGTAAACAAAATAATAAAAAATTGAAATCGTAGCCAACACACTTATAACAATTTAGCTTCTTCTACCAGAGACTCTGACACATGATGGATCTCCATGTGGATTTTGTATCGCTTAGAGCATTGACATATTATGATAAATAATTTTCCCTTTTCAAATTTCTTTCTTTAATGATGAAAAAAGTCTGTTGTTTTTTACTTAAAGTCATAAATATATCAAATGAACTATTTTTACTACTTTTCTTTTTCTATGATTTTTTTTAAATGTTATTTTTATTTCGAAGGTCATTCTTAGAAACATAAGCGACCCTGTGTTTGTTTTGAAGCCATGTTTTTGTAAACCAGGTTTTGGAGAAAGATTGACCTAAAAAGATTATTCACGATTTTAAAAAAGAAGTCTTTATTTCTGGGCATAAAATTGAAGCTTACTGTAAGTATCTACATGTATGTAAGTGATTGAGATTTTATAACTATTTACGATTCTTATTGACAATAAGGTGACCTACATTTGACGATATTTTTTTTTTTGTTTTGAAGTAGACCATCCAACAGGCCTAACTATTGTCAGGGATTTAGAGTTCATCAGAACAAAACGACATGTATCAAGTCTAAATGTTCTTAATACATTTTTTTTCATGGCGACTCTTAAAATTCCTCATTAGGCCTATATTGCTGAAATATTACGTACAGGTTGGGGTACCTTGCGGGGTGTTCTGTTGAAGTAAAAATTCCTTCGACAGCCTCTCATACCATAACTTTTAAAGTGGGATCCAGGTCAGTTAAATTTGGTAAGTGACTAAGTGATAGCAACATTTGCACTATTCGAACATGATGAACAATATTGTAGGTGAATGTTACAAATTATTGACATAATATTGGATGACTGCGAATGATAGTAGGCCTATTGTTTTGCCACCTATGTCCAGGCAGGGACGTATATATTCTTGTGTGCCCATATTTTGACAGTCTTTCAAGATGTGTAAATTTTGTAATACCAATTTAATATCCACAAATTAAAATAAATTGTGCCTAAAATACTTCATTCAAAGGGTAATATTTTCTATATGGCGATTTAACTTATAATTTTTATCTGTTACCAAATGCGATGCATTTAAAAAAAGTGACATATAAACAATGAGTGCCACCACCGAGTCCTAATTTCAACTGTTGTCAACTGTAATCGTTCGATATGCCAGGCCAAACAAAACAAATTTTTAGTATATAGATGTAAAAAAAATTGTTAAATTTATTGTAATTCAATCTAAAATTGATTATACCAGGGTTCGAAATTCACTATATACAACTCGCAAAATGCGAGTTAGAATTTCAAAATTGCGAGTTAAAAATTAGGTAACTCGCAAAAACTTGCGAGTTGATTTTTTTGCATTGAAACTGTAGCAAAATTATATAATATGACAGAACACAATGCTTTTGATTTAAATCAGTAATTTAAATAAAAGTCACCCTGTAGCTGTATTTTGTGTATTGTACAGTAGTTACTTTTTCCTTAAGTTACATGTATTTAATTTATATAAATTTAACTTTATATGAAAATTGCAAGTAGTCTTATAAATTGCGAGTTCACTTTCTTGGTACTCGCAATTATTCGCGAGTTGTAATTTTAGGGAGTTAGCATTTGATTGGCTAAATGTCATTCTTCAATACAATGGTGGGACATAGTACTGCCTCGCTGCTCCCAAAACTGAATAGGCCTATTTGTCATTTTGCATTAAGAAGTATGCATAGGGAGGGCAGTTGGTGAATATGGCCTGTATTTGGATAACTTCTTTATATTAAGAAAACAAAAGCCTTCAAATTATGTCATTATTTTCTCTTTCAGATTTTGACAAATTCTTGGTTTAATTAAAAAATCGATTGCATTAAACTCAAAATAAAATTGTCTTGGTCTCTTTCTCCAAAACATGATTGTCACAGTGTAAGTTTCATCAATGAATCTTCAGTCTATGCCGACGACGTTGTCAAATTATATGTTGCAAGCTGTTGATGGTAATATGATTCCAAAGATGTTTTAAAAAGTTAGTTAACGTAAATCAAACATTTTTTGTCTGAAAACTTTATGAATAAGTAAGTCACTTGCCAGTATAAAGGAAATTTTGATTGCATGTGGGTGATGTGATTGCAAGTCTACCGTAGTAATTTTATTTACAAAGATGAGTTTATTCTTGCGAGATCGAAGTAGATATAAACAAAATTCGAACCCTGTCGATTTTAGGACCTTCGACCATACTAATGGGATAGGCAACTCCTTCAGGATTTATGATAAATTTTAAAGCATACATTGCAAAATAATTTAAATATGATGCAAAAAACCACCAAATTTATAGTACATGTATTTTCAGAAATACAGCCAATCCGGGGATGTGTTGGTTTTGAATATTTAACGTAATTATACTGGGAGGAATATAAAGATTGCTAAAAACAAATGGAGAATAATTTTTTGATCGATGAACATGATAAATAAAGGTTTTGTTCTGAGATCTTACGTCAGACATCTGACATCAATGATAGCATTAAAAATATGTTTTAAATTGAAATGAAGTCCCGCAGCTTATGAGATATCATGAGAGTTGCCTATCTCATTTGTATATATGTTCCCACTCCAGGTCAATTTTCAAGTTATCATTTTCCAGTTATTTTTTGAATTTATATAGATATTTTTATCATTTTTCATAAAATTTGAAGTATTTGTCGAAAGAAAAAACTATATATTTTTAGTAAAAATCTAGAATTTCACCGTAGAAATCAATAGAAAATATTATTAATCCATCTCTCCCATTCCCCAACCCTCACAACATCCCCATGAAACCAAAAAACAAAATCCCTCTTACAGGTATTTTAAATTGGTGTTAAGTAAATTCATACCAAAGCTTCTGTTGTTTCACCTGGGAAAGGGGGGATATGTTTACAGACCTCACCAAAATACTCCAAAATTGTTATTTTGTTACCAATTTTAATTGATCTACAACTATTAACATTTACAAAGTGAATCATCAGATATGATATTAACCACATGTATATTATAATTAATTTAACATGTTTATCAAATTGAAAGATTAAAAGGTTGTTTGTCCACATCCATGAGTATTTCAATATTCAGTTCTGTTTTAAAGTCTCTTTTCAGTGCCAGAAAAAAATGTTACACCCCCTTATCAGAAAAAGCTGTATTTAGCAATTTATTAACACTGATATTAGAGTTATTAATCAATTACTACCTACGTGTACCTACCTACCTATTCCTTGTTGCACCCGGAGGCACATAGGGCAAGGACTAGGGATTTCCGTTCTTCTCTGTTCTTAGCTGCATCAATTACTAATGAAGTCTATTTTGCATTCATGAAAAATTGGGAGTAAGTGTTTACAGTTCTTCTTTCCTTTGAAATTTGACACAGAATGGACAAAATATTGTTAAATTAGGACTTCATTTTTAAGAGATATGTTGGTCAAGATGTCTTCTATGGCAATCGTACTGTAAGAAAATAATTTACTTGTAGAAAGATTTTAAAAGAAATCATTTTATTTTATAACAGAAAAGTTAGGGCTCAGAGGACCCCATTCCCTGGGGATAAAAATGACCCCCCCCCCCAAAAAAAAACACTCACAACATGAGTCTTGTTCTTTCATTTTGCCTTAATTATTCATTCATTCAGTGAAGAAGAATTTGTCATTTAACATGCCATCATATGCCCATACTGTATGCTCATGGAGACTTTTATTTTGGGTAAGACTATTTGAACATGGGCATTGAAAAATAAATTTTATATGGCTGTTCTCAGAATGAAATTTATACAATAAAGCCTCCCTCCAAAAAATATATATATTACCAAATACAATTAAATATTAATATGTTTACAAAACTCTGCTGTTAAAACTTTTAGATATATTCAAAAGGGAAGATGATATACATGTATATATATCAGAATTGAAATTTAAAGGTCATGGTTGATATTTATATTTAGAACAGAACAGAATTAAAGTTGTATTATGTTAGTGTTGTGAAATAGGCGCAGAGTAATATATATATAGTGCATGAAAGTGTATGGAATAATATAAGCCAAAATATAACTAACTGAGTAACTGGTGTTATTAGTACAAACTACAAAGTCAATCTTTAAGTATTGAAAGGTAGGGTTTTATAGGACTTCAGTTGTATTGTCATATATGGTCAAAAGTTTGTCATGTTAATTTTGCTAAGGAATTACCCCTTCAGTAAAGGTAGAGAGTGTGTGCCTGAGTGGAAGAGGAGAAAGAGATCCCAAAGAGATCCCCTTGTTCATAATATGCTACCCTTAGTAGCTTAGTAGAATGTAAACGTAGATAAGTAATCAAGTTAACCTTCACAGAATTTTTTAGACAAGGTATTATATTATTATTTAATCTTTATTTATTCTGGAAGGTGTATACAATTATTTATCTCAATTTTCATCGTACAAAGGGATTAACGTTGCAGTAATGGGCATGTTGCCAACTTCACTGTTACATTGTAATATCATCAAAACATCCTCTCTTTATGCAATAAATCAATGTTTCACTATTCTTTGCAATATCCCAGGAATTTATACATTGATTGTAAAAGTAATCTTCGATTTGATATATAGTGTAACAGTATGTTTTTTCCATTTTGAAATTATTTATTGATCACTAATAGTTTTTTTTTCTTGGTTGATTGGTGTTTTCCCCAAGTATCCTTTAGCATTTTAAAGATCAATCACCACTTGTAAATAGTAGGTGAACTTAGTTTTGTGTTGCAGCTTTTTCAGTTAAGAAAATAAAGTAAAATTTATATTTCTGCTTTATACTTAAGGTTTAAAATATAGATTCACATTGAAACATTCCGAGTAAAGCAGAGAATCTGAATCATCCTAGGTGTAAGCAGCCAATCGGAATCATCCTAGGTGTAAGCAGCCAATCAGAATCATTGTAGGTGTTTCATAACGTTATGAACATGGAAAAAAAAACCAACTGCATGGGAATGATGAAATACAGTTGATAATGGGAGAACCAGAGTTCTCATCATTTTGAATGTGCACATAAACACGTTTGTGTTACCCATACTGTGTATCAATGATTTAAGAATTTATAGTCACAATATAAATTGTATGGTTTATAATTTACAGATACGTAAAAAATGACGTCAGCTTTTGTTGGCTGTATTGTCTCCCTTGATTGTGGAGAGGTTCTTGGGACATATCAAGGGCAGGTAACTTGTATCAACAACAGTTCCCAGGAACTCACTCTCATTGAGGCTTTCAGGAATGGCCTCAAATGCCCAGTTTCGGAAATAACTCTTAAGTAAGTCTGTTTGCCAATTATTACCAAATAAGTGAATTTTTAGCAATTAAGACACAAATTTGGTGATTTATCCCCAAAAATTGTTAATTATTAATTTTAGCGATTTCATAATGTCAAGCAAGATATCTAGAACTCATACAGAATAAATTGTTAGCGATATTCATTTTTAGTGATCTTAAAGCCCTCACTTATAATGCCAAAATTGAATCCTAAAAATTTGCTTATACTGTATTTGTTTATGCACAAACTTAACTTCAAAAATATTTACTGAGTAATGTAAAGAGCATATTTAAAATAACTTGTGAAGTTTTTTGCAAAATATTTGTACTTAGGACCTTGTAATGTTGGGATAAGATATGTATTTAGACTATTTAAATTCATGTCAAGTTGCATAAATATCATTTACTCTCAGTGCCTCAGATATCAAAGAACTAAAGATTATGAAGAATCCTACTGAAGCCATCTCAATCACCAATAAGCAGGCTACACCATCCAAACTTTCTCCAGAAAATAACAATGATGTGATTGCTCCTTCTCCAGTTAAAATTATTGACAAGCCTGTAAGTGTTGTTCTGTCTGAGAGACAGTTTAGTGAATCGTGCAGTGTACGGAATGGCAACAATAGAGGGAGCCAGGAGAGCAATGGAAACGGTAACATGAGAAGAAGTGGCAGTGCTCCCAGAATGACCAATAGAAATGGGAATAACTCCCCTATCAATGGGATCAATCGATACACACCAACCAATGGGAATGGTTGCAATAGGTACACACCTCCATGTGAAAATGGCAGCAGATATATAAAGTACACACCCACCAAGGAGGAACAAAGAACAAGGAGAAACTCCAGTAAGTTCCTAGTCATGGTTGATCTTACTGTATAGTATTTCTGTAAGTGTTGATTGTCATTGTGTTGTATCTCAGTATGGTGGATGAATGACACACTCTGAAACTTTCATGAGTGACAAACATAACTCATATGGTAGAAGTATGCCACATACCGTATAAGTGGAAATTTTATCGAGACGCAAATTTGGCGATTTATCCCCCAAAATTGTTATATATTTTAAGCGAGAAGTAATTTTAGCGATTTCATAATGGGAAGAGAGATAGCAATAACAATGGATAGGGAATGTTAGCGATATTCAATTTTAGCGATCTCAGAACCCTCGCTAATAATGCCAAAATTAAATCCCCGCTAAAAATTCTGCTTATACGGTATATAGAAGTGGACTTATTAAATGCTAGTACATGCAATTGCTTTGAAATTTTAATCAACCTAAAAGTAGTGCTTTTATATGAAGAACATGAAGCTAAGAATAAGTGTGTTAAAAGTGTATTGGTCAGTGCTGAAGTTTCTAATATTTTGCATTTTCAGCTTCCGAAACAAGGGTCAGAAATTCATCAGCAGCTAAGAAAATAGAATTCCGTCACCGAGGTCCCTCACAGGGCAGGGAGGATTGCTTTAGTGCCCCCTCTGAGTCCTATTTACAGGACTTTGACTTTGAGAAAAATCTTGCTTTGTTTGACAAAAAAGCTGTATTTGAAGAGATCGAGAGTGCCAATCCTGAACTTACCAAAGTGGTTGAGACAAAGAAACCACAGAAGTATAGGTGTGACGAGAATGTCCTTCAGTCCGCACCTGTTGTGTATCAACAAATTAAAGTACCAAAGGCTATTCCATCAAATAATTCTTTTGTAACTGGTAAGAGAATTCATCAGGAGGAAATATGAACAATGTACATATACAGCTTTCATTTCACCAATTGTTACTGTCATGTCTTTTAATGTAAGTCTGTTGTCAAGCAGGTGAATTCACAGTACCCTGACCACTGCGTTGTGCATTCATTGTTGAGACATATTTCCCCAACATTTTTTTCCCACAGTTTCATTCTTCTTAAAAAACCATGAATTTAAAAAAAGAAGCATGATTACATGTATTTGATTTTATTTTTGAGCAGATTCTGGTTTAGTAGTTCCCAGTATATCATATGAGTGGAGGAAAAAACTGTTTGAGACAGCAGAGAAACTGGGATTTAAGAGAGAGCGGCAGATCGAAATGGTTGGACGATCGGCATGTGAGATGGTGCTACAACTTCTAGGAGGCTCCACTAGGTAAGAATTTAAAAACTAGAAATCTTACAAAGAAAATTTGTAGAATCTTTAGTGGCAACAAGTCTTACATTACATGTTTATTACAGAAGTATAAACTCCATTCTGTCAACTGACTTGCCATATCTGTGAATATTATCAGTAAACTACATATAATAAACATGTTAAAATCATCTATTTCCAAAAAAAGGAAAAAAGGATTTTTTATTTAAATTTTGGAAATGATTTATTTTGGGTATCTTTAGATTGAATCCACAAAATGGTCATCAGTTGCCCACAGTGATGGTTCTTTGTGGCCCTCACCTACAGGGGGCATATGGGGTCAACTGTGCCAGGCAGCTGTCCAATCACAATGTCAAAGTTCAAGTTTTCATGCCAGGTCATGTGAAGGTCCCTGCCTATATGGAGGATGAATTGACTCTGTTTGACTCCTCTGAGGGAAAAAGGACTGCTAGTCTTAAAGGTTATTTTTTTGTCAAGTCTCTCCTCAAAAGGATTTCTTTGCACCTCATTTATTCCTCTTAATAAACCTCTTAGTGATTAAGACCTGCGTATTGGTTGTCCTTTTCCTGAAATATGTTGCAGCAAATTTTGTTTTCATATAATATATAACTGTAATGATAAATGGTACTAGTCTCAATGCCAAAAATGTTGATTTTTTCCAAATTAAAGACCAAAAACTCCCAATTCAACTGCTGAGGAACAGATCGCTATGACCTTGTAATTCTCTTGGTATGAAACATTGCATGAGTTGTCTAAATTTTTCACATCCTCTTAAATTGAAAGTATTGTGGACATAATGTGACGAGATGTATGTTGTAGACAGCCTAGTGTCGACTTGAAAATGTGACAAGAGATATAAGTACATGTGTGTAAAACAATGACTACTTGTTATTCATTCTTTTAAAATATGGATCAATAACTGATGATTAGAATAAAGGTGATTAGTTGATTGATAGAAAATTCCCAATTTCTCCTATTTTGATGCTAATTTTTCCACTGAATTGGTATCTTCACCATTCCCAATTGGTAGAACAAAAACCCTGTGTTATAAATAATATGCTTTGTTAAACATTGTTAAATATGCCGACACTTCTCTCTGTATACTTCGCAGTAAGTGACAAAACAATGTTTAAAATTTGGTGATTTGTGTTCTTTACATGGGTTTAAAGTTGATCCAGACAAAAGAAGGCTTAAAATTTGCTTTTGTTACTGTAAACTTGGATGTTTTTAGGGGGTTAAATTATGTGAATTCTTTGCAATAAAGCCTTTGCTTGGGGGTTAATTTTGTAAAATTTAAAATATTTACAAAATATGTTGGTTTGTTTTTTAGTATGGTGCCTCTTATTGAAACTAATTGCATGGTGATAAATTAAGCAAAACTTTACTTATTGAAAAATACACAAACATTTCCCCTACGTAAACATTTCCACATTTACAGTAGAGCTAATAATCATTTATTTGTTGCTATTTACAGACTTACCATCAAGTGCTGTGGATATCATTATCAATGCCATGGACACACATGAAAATACTCAATACAAGCAGCAAGGCTGGTTCATTGCCTCCACAGAGTGGGCCAATCACAACAGAGCACCAGTTCTCTCCATTGATCCACCAGCCAATGGTGCAAGTGTGCAGTCCAAGTGGAGTATCTGTATCTGCCTTCCACTCACCGGAAAAGAAGGCAACTCATCTCAAGTGTACTTATGTGACTTAGGCTTTCCTAAGAAGGTGTTCACTGATCATGGCATTAAGTATATTTCCCCTTTCAGTCACAAATTCATAATTCCTCTCCATTCCCAATCCTAGTCATTTAAATGTTTTTACCTTCTGTGTTTTATGGCAAATGTTGTATTCATTTTTCTGGATGCAAAAGTTTACATGACATTGAACAGTATTGCGAGATTGTTTTGAAAATGCATTCCATAATCAGATACTTTTACTTTAATTCGCATTGTATGTTTTTGTGTGAAAATATTCCATTTGGAAGTGCTACTATGAAACCAAGACTGCCAAAATGTACAATGATTCTATGTGTTCATAGCTAGTTATCTGTGATGTTAAAAGTATGTTGTTTGCTGTATGTTTATTTTGCCCTTTTTTTCACAAAATCATAATTTCTTTACAACATTGTGGAAAAGAATTTTACTTTTTAAGTAAAAAATATGCTCTTAAAGCCATAGTTATGTCCAGATTTTTTTCGATGGGAATTATGAAAAGTTTTATCATTTTTAAGAAGCATTTCAAAGTACATGTATATCTTTGTGTGAACTAATATGTGTGTTTTTGAATACAAGGTTCCATTTTGTTGTAAATTTTACTGATGAATGCATTGATGAGTTGTCATATGAGGGCATTTGAATGTTGTTATTGTTCATGTAATGTGAAATTTTCACATGGTAATGATATGAAATGTTCCCACATAGACTTGCTCAAGTCTCTTTGTATTATTTTTATTCCCTATAACATAATTTTTAAGTTTTATGTTTGAAAATAATTTTTTAATTTAGATTTTAATGTGGAAAAGAGAGCAAAACCCAGTGCAGAAAAAAATTTACACGCATTTCATCAGTGAAGTTTTGCTGGTGAACAAAAAAAACATGATATTGTCTCTGAATTATTTCATATCCCTGTAAAAATTGTGCTCAAATTTTAAAAGTATGTTTATCATAGATATAACTTGGATATATTCTTGCAATGTAAATACCGAAGTCCTGATTTATAGACTAAAAAATGAGGACCACACTTGTAGCATAAGATTCATATCAGTGTGTCTCTTAGTGAGATGGGCAGCTTTTTTGTTTGCTTTTTGAGATACAATATAACGACTCATAAAGCAGTACATTTCATTTTAAATCTGTACAGTTACAATATGTCATCATGTTTTAAATTTTCATTCATCAAAGACAAAAACTTGAATGTATTCAATTTTTTTTTGTATGTGTCAAGAAAAACATTTTTTTAAGGCTTTATCAGAGCAATTAATGCTCTGATATTCTATTTATGGTTTTCCCATATTTGAAAAATTAAAAAAAATAATAGTGGCCAGTGTTTTAGAATTCCATGTACAGCATAAAAATTGAACCAACATGTATAATTTTGGTTTGTTTCAAATTGATTTACAATGTACTTAACATGCTTAAGCAAGAATTACAGTGTTAAGAGAATGAGAGCATGATAAAGGTAATTTTATTTTATGGTATACTAAATGGGTTGTCATGTGACATGTAGAAAGTATAGAGTAAGGATCCTGTCCATGTAGCAACATGGAATCTTTCCAAAGCTTTACAGGCAAGTTATTGTTTGTTTTTTTTTCATATATATGATATGCTTTTCAGTGATCTCTAAATATATGTCAATGTTTTATTTTTGTGCAATAAGTATTGGAATTTTTGTACACATGTGTAAATATATTAACATGAAATGTGACGTTATATATATATTTCCAAGTGTAATGTACGTAATTTTTCCCATGAAATCATGGATTCCTAAATGGAATTAGCATCAAATTGGCAAAGCTCTCCTAACTCCTTGAGGGTAAACTTCACGAACAGGAAAAGACAATGTTTCGTTGTACATATAATGAAATGGATGGCAGCTTTCTGAATAGATGATGCAGTAATGAATAAATTACTAAACCAATATGACAATGGTGCACAGTAAGTTTAACCTTCATTTAGGGCTTAAATAGCAGATAAATGAAGAGGAGGAAATCGGCATTTTCCTAGTATTGTTAGTCTTAAATCAATGGATGGAGGTGAGAGAAGATAGTGCAATGTGATTTTGTGTTGCAACTGACTCTGTATGGAGTAATTCTTTTGGAGCATAGAGTTGTCTACTCTTAAATTGCAAATGATACAATTAAATCTATTATGACAAGGTTCTTGTTAATATTTGATGTGTTTATACTGTATGTGTATGTACATTGTTATGAAACAAGTAGTGTGTGCAATTTAGCACACTACCAAAAGGAGTTTTCTCCCTAGAGAAAAAAATCAGCATATCATTTAATATTTTGTAAATATGGTTTTAAGCAAACATAATGTTAATCTGTAACTTTTAAAGGAATCATAATTCAGTATTTTTATGGTTACATTTTTTTTTCTTACGTTTGTTGTTGCTGTACAGGAAATTTGAGAATGTTGTCAAAAAATATTCAAAATAGCAGTCTATATCACTTCAATATTTGTGTCAATTTTGAGTTTAGGGTAATCACATTTGTGAAAGCCAGAAGATTCAGAGTGCATATCCTTGTTAAAGTAATGGATTCTAAATTTTTAAATATAAATTTGCCACTCATATCAATTTACATTTGAAAAGTAATAATAATGTGAAATGTGAACAATTGTTTGGCTAAAAAATTTCATTGCATTATTGTTTATGAATTTGCTTAAGCAACTTGTGAAAATATTTATGTGTGCCAATGTTTATTTTTTTATGATGTCAATATCTGTAAGCGTTCTCCACACACAGGGTGGTGGATTGTTCCCAAGAAATGCCACTAAATTTGTTTTGATCAGACTGATTGTATTTTATTCTTGTACGTAAATATTTCAGTATTGTCTCTGTTGGACATGTTAAGAAGTGGATTTGAGAAAGAAGTAGGCACAGTGAAAAATTCACCTAACATTTTATTGTTGATTTTATTTCATTTTGTGTTTTTATTCATTCATTTAATGTGTGAACTGGTTTCTTACACACAATAATCTTTTGGGTTCTAGTATACATTTAAATTGTTATCAGAAACTTTTTTTTCAAAACACGAAAGTTGTGTGTGCTTAATTTTTCTCATGGTATATGTAAATCCTGCATGCTTACTAAAAAGCTCAGTTTAATTTACAATTATAGCAGCTTTCAGTTTGATATGAATGATGGCGAAATCCAAGGTGAAATTTTTGCTCCCTGTTTGTTATTAACTAAACTGTGCTAATTATTTTGTTAGTAGCTAAGCATAAAAATATATATCAGCTGCATTTTGCAGATTGATGTTAATTTGGACAATTTCCAATAATTTTTCATAAAAGTATTAAAATGTATAGTTCTTTAACAAAAAAACAGTTCTCTGTATCAATTAAGCAACTTTGTCATGTAGAATTTTCATAACCATAACTGCTTTTTGTCTTGACTGTTATAGGGTCATTTTCAAAAATTGTGCCAAACATGGTCTACTGTAATTGTTAAGTATGATTGAAAAACTGATACAAGTGTTCAGAACATGAAAGATTGTAGTGAAAGATGTCCCTGTTGAATGTGAAGGTGCTTTATGAATGTCCAAGATGAAACTGGTGCAGACTGGTTGTAAATGAACTAGTTTGATGCAAAAGTTTGTTGATTTGAATTGAAATTTGTATTATAAAGAATAAGTTTATTCTAATAGGTAATTTTCATATTAATGACTTTCTGTTTGGTGCATTCATACACATCTTGTCAGCATACATATAAGTGCATGGAGAATTTAATGTTATAAGTGTGATGTAAATAGAATTTGTTTTTTTTTATTATTATTATCAACATAAATGACTAAACTTAGCCAATTGAGCCAGTTAACGCTTTATTGTTCTTAGCATATTTTATATGTATCCTCTCCTTTTAATAGTTTTCTAGCAATTCCACTCAATTTTTATGTATACTAATGTTATTTCAAAGGATATTTATAACTTTTAAAATTAATATTTATTCCAAGAAGCCAGGGAGAGTAACTTTACACTACAGCAAAATTTTATCTTAATTTTTTTTTTAGATATTTTAAAATGTATGAAGAAAAACTGCTTATACATAAACAGTAGTGAGACTAGGATTATTTCATGCTAAGTTAAAAGTCATTATATGCTTGGTTAAGTTCATAGCATAAAATACTTTATGTATCTTATGTAACATTCACATGCTAAACCCTTGAACTTTAGGGAAGTTTTTCATCACTCATAATCTTTTGGGGGGGGGGGGTACATGTTTAATATTCTTGCATATATATGCTGAATGGATTTTCACGTTTTTATTTTAAGGGAGACTTTAATATTGAGAAGCAGTGGAGGTCAAAATTTATTTTTATTTCAAATATATAATGAAAAAAATCTCAATTTATAAATTTTTTCTTTCTTTAAAAATGTTTTTTCATTGAAACCAATAAATACCTGTGTAATAAATTTGATTGAAATTTTATACAAAAGGAAAAAATACATGTAAATTGTTAGGTCTCCCTATTTGGATATTCTCCACATAAGTCTGCTTCTTAATGGTAATATAAGAATTTGAATTATATTGCTATTTGTCATAATAACTTGTCTTTAATTGCTAAATGTATATGTGTAATTTAATTAAATTATAAAATGGAGAGTGACATTATATTGGTATGATTTTATCCAGATTTTGTGAAGCCACTGTAAAGGTCTCAGAAATGCAGGCTTGCACAAATTTTGGCAAAATCTGAAATTTATGGATATTTACTACTTACATGTGATACCGTATAGAGGGTTTTCTTGGTGGGTGTAAAATTTGGCGTTTTGGTTGCTTAAAGGCATGCCAATAATTTTGGGGTAATTTATTTTAGAGGACAAAGGATTCCAAAGCTTTGCAAAAGAACACTAAGAAGAATACTGAATATTTTAACGATTATAATTTTAGCGAGCTACTACCAAAACGCTAAAATAAGCCAAAATTAGCACCCCACTAAAATAACCGCTATACGATACTATTTGAAAAATATATATTTAATTTTAAAATATGGTCAGAATAGTGATATATTAATTTATACTTCTATCAACTGCATTTTGAACCACCAGAAATGTGATAGAATAATATTTGGGACAACCTTTGTTTTGTCATAGTTTTTGTGAGCAGAGAATTTTGGAAAAGGTGTTGTCAAAAAGTTGTGAACAAATATCTCCAAAAGTGAGACTTTAACTCTGCAGAATTTTACATGTGTCACTGAGTTGAATATCATTCCTTTTTATGACCAAGTGAAGTCATTTGAAGATTAGTATAGTCTTTTTTCTTAAATGATGTAGTTACACATATATAGATGAGAAGTAGAATTTATTGTAGACATTTTATGATGTAGTTTTGAGATAATCAAATGATGCATTCAGCAAAGGGCATAATGGTGAATGTTGCTCCTCTTTTATCCAAAAAATTGTTGGAAAATATTTTGTTAATCAAAGAAATAATAGAAATTAAAAAAAAAAAAGAACTAAAAGATAAAAAAAATTGTATAT